GGCCGTTCGCGCGCCTGCGGCGGCAGCAGCGCTCGACCCTGACTTCGTAGACGGCGTCTACCACCCTCTTCAATTCGCTTCTTTCGCGCGTCGTCCGAGCCCCGCGTCGTCGCGTCACTGTTGCGCGACTCAGCGCCAGAAGACCCGCGGGGATCACGATTCCACGTTGGTCCAGGGATAGGGCGACCCTTGACGCGCCGATCGCGGGTGCCGCTAAGCGAGTTTCGGCCTCTAGCTGGGATGCTGCCGCGCGAGCTGCAGCCTCCGCATCGTCTGTGAATGATCGGGCATGTTCTAGACGAGCAGCGCCAGTTGGTCTAGGCCGATTCCCGATGGTTCGTCTGTTCTGCGCCCATGTCCAGCCTAGCAATGAAGCGCTCACCGGGCGCCCAACAATTATCCGGGGTGGCTCGGGCCCGGGGCAACTCGAGCCTGGATCGCCGAAAAAACTGAGCCCTGGCCCGAGTTACCCAAGATGATTTGGGGCTCTGAGCGCCAAGATTATCCGGGGCAGCTCGGGCCCAGGGCAGCTCGGGCTCGGATTCCCGAAAGACGAGCCCGAGTCAGCCCTGGACCGAGTTGCCCCTGATGATTGGCTAAGATGGCCCTGGTCGCGCTCGAAGAAAGAAATGCTCGAGCGCCCGCGACCGGAGTCTCCGCGGCTTCTAGGGCGCCGAGCGCCCTCTGCGCGAGATTCAGCACTGCGCCGAGCCCCCTCTGCGCCGCAAGAGCGACCGCCCTCCGCCCCCCCCCCCCCCCCCCCTGATCAGGGCGAGCCGCGCGCAAGCGGTCGGCGCCGGCAGACGCGCTGGGGGGCCAAGGGGCGCAGACGCGCCCCCGCCCCGTCCTCGGGCTCGTCGCCCCCGCGGTTCCTGAGGCTGAAACTGCGGTCGCCCTTGGGGCTCTCACCGCGCGCGGGGCCCGTCGATGGAGTCCTGCCGCAGCCCCCGCCCCTCTGGGCTGGCGGGGTTCAACCGCGCCCATCCCCTCGACCAGGCGACCGCTTTCTGGCGCCTCCTACCGAGCGGCGACGGCTTGATGGAGCCCTTTCCATCGGATTTGTTCTCGCCCTCCCTGCGGGCCCCGTTAGGCGCGAAGGGAGGGCCGAGACATCTCGCGCTTGCCACCGCGGCCGGAGGGCCCAATCGAAAGCATGGCTTCGCCGCCGGCGCGCTCGACATCGCCGCGCGAGTGAACGCGAATGCGTTGCCTCGCGCGCGCGCCCCTCCAAAAGAAGAGGCGCGGCTTTGCGCGTTGCCCCTCGCGACCAGTTCCATAGCATTTGCCGCCCTCGGCGCAGGCTGCGCAAAACTTGTCGGGTTTCTTCTTGGCGCCGGGCTGCCCCGCCGCAAGCGGGCTCTTGCCGCCCCGCGCGCGGAGGGGGGGGGCCGGGGGCGGCCGCCACTGCGAGCGGAACAGCTTCCTCGCTGGGCCCATTCACTGCAGACCCCCCTGCTTGCTGCCGCGGCGCTTTCCAGTGCGACCCGGTTGGCCGCGTCTCATCTGCGACTTTATAGTCTCTGGCATTCAAGGAGCAGCTGGCATCTGTCGCAGCGCCATCGCTATGTTTTATTCGGGCCGCCCCGCTCCAATCTGTAGCGAGGGCCCCCGTCGGTCTCGAAATCCCGATGGCGTTCAACCCGTGACCGAAACAGGGCTTCGAGCGCATCGTCGGCGGGCGCTGACTTCGCACCGAAGACGGCGCAATCACGTCCCCAACGAATTTGCTTCGATCGTCGCCGGTCATCAGGGCCGCGTGCACGCGCAGATGGGAACTCGAAGATGCGCCCGTTGGCTTCCGCGAGCCAGTCCGAGCGCGTGCTCGTCAACAGAAATCGTCGCCCCTTGACTAAGCACTCACGGGCTTCGGCATCTCCCCTGCCAACATTCGCCCTCCGATCGAAGTCGCCGCGGCCGAGGGCGTCGACGCCCCCGCGACCGGCGAGCTCCTCGCGCGTTGCGCCATCGCTCTCGACCTCCCACCAGAAGGCTAGACCGGGTCTGCCAGAGTCCGCGCTTGCTGCGTCGCGAACGCCCTACTTCGCATCTCGGAAGCACGGGGCTGAAGACAATGATCGAAGATTATGGCGCTCTGCTTCTTTATACTTCCTGCCTTTGTCGTTTCGCAGCTTGGCGGCCTGTTCAATTGCAGACTGGCGGTCGCTCGGTCAGACTGCGCCAACGCCCTGCCGCTCGATCTCGGACGGCGGGCGGCCGAGCACCTGGCGCGTTGCGCCGAGCTCCAGTGGGCTGCGCCCACCATTATTGCATGATTTGCTTGTCGCGCACTGGCCGACTAAGGGTAGCTGGCGGTTCGCGCCGCTGGAGGGTCGGCCTCCGTCCAGGATGCCGCTGGGGCCGCGGTGGAGCGGTGGCGGTTGTGCCAGTTGGGACTTTACCACTGTCCGGAGCGTCGGGTTTCCCCATCGCAGCTGCGTCGGGTTTTCCAACCGCAGAACAGTTGAAGGCAGCCGCGACAGTTGGCGGACGCGTGTCGCCAACTACTTGCCAATCAGCAAGCTCGCGGGCCGCTGGTGGCGATGCGCATTCTTGTTACCCAATGAGCGCACGCGCCCTACCGAGGTAACATGCCTAGTAGTCGGAGTCGGACGCCTGCCCATCGCGGCCATTTGGATGGCAGTTTCCAGGCGGCGATCGTTCACCGAGCGCGCTAGATTGCCCACCTTAATATTGATTCGACATTGCAGCTGCTGCTTCATCGCGAATCTGGTCCACATTGGCTATGTGAAAGTCGCTACTGTTTCTTACCTTGTCGCCAAGGTTGGCGCTTGCTCTGTCGCGCCCTTCAGCGCTGCCTGAGAGCGCTCGCACCGGGCCCTTCCGCTCCCGGAAGAAGTGTTGTTTTTGCAGATCAATCACGACACCGTTTGCGTAACAAGGTCTACATGTCCTACCCAATCCTTTTTGGAAGAAGGCGCTCTTCGCAAACATCATCTGGACATCGGGTGCGATCTTGGACGTATCACGCCGGACCTGTGCCCGGGCGGTAGCAGCATGCAGCATGCTTCAGTTATGCTCTTCTCTTCTCCTCACAGTGCGGGACGATGCGACGAGCGCGCACCCTACCTGCCCACTTGGCAACTCACTTGTTCGTTGCTACATATTGGCTGATCGCGCGTCGAATGTTTCGTGCCGTGGGATGGCGTGCTCAGTGGCGCTGCTTCGCTCCAGGATGCGGAAAAGCCCTTGTTCGCTTGCTCGCTGGTCGGGGTGGCGAGCCCGCGCAAAAGCTGCTGCCAATTTGCCGCGAGTCCCCCGAGCCTGGGGGGCCCACGCTCCGGGCATTCTGCGCCTGAGAGGCGCACGCGAAATCCGCAAAGGTAATTCGCAACCCGTTTAAGTTAGACTTCTGTTGCCGCTCGGAAATTCGGCGTTGTTCGGACAGGGCCTGCTGCTGCATTTCAGCCATCCGCCGGCTCATGGTCTGGAGGGTTTGGGCAGTTGGAATCGATCTCTGCTGTTCAATAGCGGCTGCTTTGGACATCCCGCCACTGGTCTCGGCAATTGCTGCTCGACAGTTCGAGATGGCACTTCTTGTACCTGATCGAGAGGAAAGAGTGCTCTAGCTCTTCCCAATGCCGTGGCAGACGGGACAACCGTGCTTAAGGGCAGCAGGGCATGAAGCAAACCTTCTTTGTTCAGATCCCATGCGGAATCTTGCCGGGCCCGCGTCGGGCTTCCCCGACGCACCTGCGTCAGGCTGTGCGCATTCTCGGGCTCTTGGTGGGTGATCTTGACCCTTGCCTCAGGTTGACCTGCACGACTTGTCCGTGCCCCATTTGCTGCTGTCTTGCAGCCTGTGTAACCGACCCAAAGAATTCGTCGGGGATGATGTCCTCCAGCGAAGCTTCTAACTCGCCTGAGCCAGCAGTCTAGAGGGCAGCGTTTCTCGCTGCTTCGGCTGATCACCTCAATGTGGGGATGTAAGGGCCTTTGGGCTGGACGCCCCCCTGATTCCTTGAGGCCTGGACTCGCCTGTGAAGGTGGCCGACTGCCTATTAAGTTTACGAAGGAAGTTACGGTGTATGCGCATTTTCTATATGTGTATACAGCTGCTAGCAATACAGCAAGCGAGAGAGGAGAGGAGACAAGAGCGCTCGGCCAGCCGGCGTATTCGACCCTCTCCGCCACGCGGGCCGAAGGACGCTCGCGGCGGGCGACTCCCCCCCTTGGATCCTCGGGAGGACCGATGGGGGGGAGGCAAGAGGAGGAGCGGCACGCGGCTGAGGAGGGGGGGCAAGAGAGGTCCCGCGGCAGTCCTTGCCTAGCCCAGCAGCTCCTTCAGGCCAGCATTGGAGGAGGAGCGGAGGGAGGCCCACGCGGGGCTGCCGCTCCAAGCAAAAGGCGCCGACGCCGAGGGGGGAAACACACACACACACACACACACACACAAAACGTGCACCGTTCGCACGTCTTGGGCCCGCGGTGGCAGCTCAGGGACCACGTGGAAACCTCTCTTAGGGATGCTTTTTCCTGCGGTGCTCGATCCCCCCACGCTGATTGACCCCACGCTGCCTTCCACCCGAGAGTTTGGACGCCCGAGACGGGTGCGGAAAACATGGGCACCATGCCCAACAGCACATGCTGTCGCAAGCCAACAGCGGCCGCTCTTGGGCAGGCGGCCCTCTGCCTCGAAAATTGGCTGCAGGCCGCGGCGGCGTGGACCGCGAGCCCTGCTCAGAAGGAACAAGAACTGCTGTTGGGAAGTGTGCCCGCTCTTTCCGTGCCCACTTCGGGCGTCCAGACCCAGACCCCCGACGTCATGAATTTTTCATGACGTCGACCCCCAGCGGTCTGGACCCTTTCCCCGGGACCGGTTCTTCGTCCTGAGTCGTTTTTTGACGGTCCCGAGGGCCGGTAAGGGCCCCCAAAGGCCCAAAATAATGAAAGACCTCCCGTCGTGATTTTTTCATAACTCGAGAGGGTCTGGGGAGAAAGACACAAAGCGCCAGAGGCCGGCACCGACGCCGCCACGGCGCCTGGTGCCCAGCAGGCTCATCAGCTGCCGCGCGGGCAGCTCCCGCATGCGGCCGCCCGCGCCCCGACAGCGGAGCGTCTCGAGGAAGCCAACCTCCGGGGGCGAGGGCAGCCAGGAACCCGGGAGGTCTGTGCCCTCCCTCGTCGTCGTCGTCGTCCTCCTCCTCCTCCGCCTCCTCCTGCTCCTCCTCCTCAGCTCCTCCTCCTCCTCCTCCTCCTCCTCCTCCTCCTCCTCTCCTCCTCCTCCTCCTCCTCCTCACCTCCTCCTCCTCCTCCTCCCTCCTCCTCCTCCTCCTCCTCCTCCGCCTCCTCCTGCTCCTCCTCCTCAGCTCCTCCTCCTCCTTCTCCGCCTCCGCCTCCTCCTCCGCCTCCTCCGCCTCCTCCTCCTCCGCCTCCTCCTCCTCCTCCTCCTCCTCCTCCCCTTCACTGATTCACTCCTGCGTGCATCCTGCCCTCTCCTGCTCCTGCTGCTGAACCTCCTCCCTCTCTGGCCCGTCATTTGCTGGGCACTCCCAGCCAAACGCGGGCAGGGAGACAAATACAGTAGTCATCCCCTTCCCCGCCCACGGAAATTCCCAGAGCCGTCCGGAAGCCATCTCGAAGCCCATGGCCGTGAGCCCCTCCAAACAACACAACAAATTCCGACACCTCGGTCCTGCCCTCCTCCTCCTCCTCCTCCTGCTCCTGCTCCTGCTTCTGCTACTGCTGCTGCTCCTGCGTTTCCTCTTCCTCCTCCTTCTCCTCCCGCGCGGGAAGAGGATAAGAGAGGGCGTCCCAGACACACGCGCGCCTGCGGCAACAAGGCCCTCAAAAGGACAGCTTGCGGCGGCCTCTGGATGCGAAACCACTTCCGCTGACGTCGCCCGGATTGGGTTGCCAATGGGGCCTCGACAAGATACCGGCCCCCCCCCAAAAAAAAACTTTAGCTGGGGCTGGGATCTCCTCCTCCTTCTGTGGTTCCTCCTCCTCCTCCTCCTTCTCCTCCTCGTCCTCCACTCCTTGTCCTTGTAGATAAATCCTCCTTGTCGCATTCCAAGGCTGGTCGAAACGGCATGCTTGGCGGTTCGCCTTAGACTTCCTCACCATCTACGACTCTGAAGCATTATAATTGGCCATAGATTTACGAATGGAGGGCGGATCGCTTTCAACATGTGGCTTTCGCCTTGGCGCCGCGCACATTCGTTCTTAGGTTTGCAAGAACTTCACGAATTGAGGGCAAGTCGCTTTCACGATGTGGCTCTCGCCATAGCGCCGCGAACAAGTTTTTTTAACACATTGCAAGAGTTTCATGGGTCGAGGGCGGTTCCTTCTAAAAATGCGGCTCTCGCCCTAGCGCCCGCGCGCATTCTGCCCAAACATTCGCAAGAGTTTCAATGGTTCAATCTTCTCATTGTTACCGTACCAGGAATCGCGTTTGATATCGATTCAGGACTGTCATGGCGCAACAGCTACGTACATGCGCGGCGCTGAAGTTCCAGGAATGGTGTTCTAGAGCGATTCAGGATTGTCAAGACGCTCGAGCCATGTTAACTCGTTGCGTTGACATCCTGAGAGCGATGTTTGGGCGCAGGCATTTCACACGGTTGTCCTCCAACGGGGCAATTCCTTCGATGGAAACGATCCATGGCAGGGGCCTGTGAAGAGGGAGCGTGGAGGGAGGGCGTATTGCAACATCGTCGATGAGTCTTAGGTTACGCTGGTCCTCCTCTCCCTCATTCCCCACCCCCCCGACGCAACGTCCTTTTCATTTCGTGGGCCCCAAGCGGTCTGGACCCATTCCCCTGGACTCGCTTGTCATCCCGAGCCGTTTCTTGACAGCCCCGAGGCCTGGCAGGGGCCCCCGGAGGCCGAAAATAAGGCGAATCTCCGGTCATGATTTGTTCATGACCTGGGGGGATCTGGCCCTCCTCCTCCTCCTCCTCCTCCTCCTCCTCCTCCTCCTCCTCCTCCTCGACGTCGTCGTCGTCGTTGTCGTCCTCCTCCTCCTCCTCCCCCTCCTCCTCCTCCTCCTCCTCCGCCTCCTCCTCCTCCTCTCCTCCTCCTCCTCCTCCCTCTCCTCCCACTCCTCTCCTCCTCCTCCTCCTCCTCCTCCTCGTGCTGCTCCTCCTCCTCCTCCTCCTCCTCCTCCTCCTCCTCCTCCTCCTCCTCCTCCTCCTCCCCGCTTCCCCGCCCGGACCTCGCTCGGCATCAGGAACACCAGCGCGTTGCCTGTACGTCCGATGCGGGCGGTGCGGCCGACCCGGTGGAGGTACTTGGCGGGGGTCGCGGGGGGCGTCGCCCCATCTTTAAGTCGGGCGTGTCCCCCTACAGGGGGATTTTCGACGAAAAATAAATACGCAAACAATGCTCCAAAAGGATCAAAAAATATGTTTAAAATAGTCCCCGGACAATCTTTTTACTACTTGTGAATATTCCCCCTGTAGAGGGACAGGCCCGCCTTAACCCCATCTCCCTCCCCCGATCGGCGGTGGACAAACCTCCCTTCAGCAAACCTCCGGTCTC